ATATCCTCCCTCTATAATATTTCAATATTGTTTGTGAAAAACTTATTGAACTTACTTGGAGGCAAAAAAAATTAATTTATTGCTTTTTCAATAAAAAATTACGAATAAGTAGTCGTTTTGAAATTAATTACGAAAATATAACAGTCAAACACGCCTCATAGGGGCGTGATCGGTTGGAGAGACACGCCCAATGTTGGGCGTGTTTCACCAGGTGCTGCCACGTGTCACAAAAGTCAATAATTTGACCGGAAAACTTTGGAAGTCCATAACTTTTGACTCGGGTATCCGAATTAGGTAATTTTTTTTTATTCCACATAACTTTTCGAGATCTACGTAATGACACCTAATTTGACCTATTTTGTCTCTCACAAAAAAATTTGAATTTACAACAATGATACCATAATTATTAAAAATGACATGACTTTGTTACCTTATAATTATTACTAAAAATAATCTAACATTTTTATAATCATGAACAAAAACTAAAAAAATCAAAATAAAACGAAAAGCACTCACTTAACTTTTTAATATAAATTATTCGATATTCTGTCATCGACAGATGTTAACTTTTATTAATTATAAATTTCATAAAATTCTTCATTCAAAATTTTAATATATATCTCAATAACATACATAATTAACCTTATCATAACTCACCATAATCATAAGGATCTTTATTATGAATGTTTCTAATCATAATAGTGGTTTTCTGTCCATTAATTTTTGTTTAAACGTTCTTATGGTATCATTATTGTAAATTCAATTTTTTTGTGAGAGACAAAATATGCCAAATGAGGTGTCATTACGTAGATATCGAAAAGTTATGTGGATTCAAAAAAAAATTACCTAATTCGGATACCCGAGTCAAAAGTTATGGACTTCCAAAGTTTCACGGTCAAACTGTTGGCTTTTGTGCCACGTGGCAGCACCTGGTGAAACACGCCCAACATTGGGCGTGTCTCTCTCCTCGGTCACGCCCAACATTGGGCGTGTCTCTCTCCAACCGGTCACGCCCTTATAGGGCGTGTTTAACTGCTATATTTTCGTAATTAATTTCAAAACGACTACTTATTCATAATTTTTTATTAAAAAAACAATAAATTAATTTTTTTGCCCTTACTTGCCTACATTGTTTTTGACAATGTGAGTATAATAAAAAATATTATGTCAATTTTGTTATGTATTTCAATATTCTCCTATTACTTTTGTTTAATATTTTATTTCCACATGAAATTTTACTCGGAGGTTTTGTTTTATTGAAAAATATATAGCTTTGATGTTTCTAGAGTATCTACATTTAACTGTTCCTCCGCACTCTGGATTAGTCTCATAGCCAACTCAAAGAGTCGAAGCTCGTGGAGATACCGGAGGGAGCCAACTCGTCTCAAAGAGATAATTAGGGTTGGGTAACTCCAAAAGAGTATCTACATTTACTCTCAAAACGACGTCGTTTTAGGTTGAAAAATTAAAAAAATTATAATAAAAAAACTATTATAACCCTGAAATGAATTATAATACAAAAATACCTTGATTTCTGCCTCAAAATGACGTTGTTTTGAGTTCAAAATATTAGATAGACCATAGAAAAAGCGAACCCAAAATATATTATACGAAAAAAAATCTCTCAAACTCAGTATGAGTTAACCTTGACAGTCTCACCTTTTTTGGAGTTGTTCATCTCCTCATTTGATGCTGGGGATAGGGACAAAGTCGTAGAACCTTCTACCTCCTTCATACAAAATATCTGAGATATTTATACGGAATTTTCTAGACGTTCCTTGAGAATCTAAGCGTTATCTAAAAGGGTGAAAAGTATTCTTAAGTTGTAACGCCCTACAAAATACTACAAAATATGTAAAAAAAATTAAAAAATAATTACTTTTATCTAACATGTGAGTTTTTGAAAAATACTATATAATATATTTTAACAATCATAGGTTTACCATTGATAAAAATAAATCAGAACAATTCCTGCATCAGTAGAAAAATATTACTGCAAATATATAGTTGGAGCATAATTAAATCGTTTTCATATCAATTTGAAAATTTTTAGAGTTTAAACAGATTCTCAACAAATATTATGGAAAATTAACACATAAGGATATTACGTACTTCCTAATATCATTTTTAAGAAGAATTTAAAATCTTAATACTGAACCCGTTCCAAACAGAATAAACCCTCCCGTACATGAAAGATACATGTGGGGTATCCAATATATATATATATATAAACAAAAAAATTTATAAATACTCACATTCAACTTCAACAAAAAGAAATTAAGGGAATTTTAAGAAATTATGATTATGAATTATTACTGAGGAATATACATAAGTAATTGAAAATGTCAATAACCTTTCAACCAAAAAAAAATGTCAATAACCAATTAAAGGTGTATATGAATAGTGATTATTGGAAGGAAATAATTGATATTAAAGTGACATATATAGCACAGGTCATGCTTGAAAGGATTGTATTTTCATATTAATATCATATATATTACATTATATTAGATTTACAAATGACATATTTCAACATTTAATTTAAAAATAATGAATGAAAGTGTAATTGATCTTTAAAAACATACCTCACTTATAATTTAATTTTGCTATTACTTGTAAGGACTAACGTGAAATGAGTTTGAATAATAAGACTAAATTTTATAACTTGAAAATTTAAAGACTAAATTGCAAATATATTACATTTTCAAGGACCAATATAACTATTTATCAAAAATAAAATGAAATTTATTGCTTTAAAATTCACATATGCAACTCTGCTCTGGTAAATTCACCTCTTCTCACACGAATTATACCGTCACTACATGCATGCATGCAGCTCGTCCTCTCACTTCACACACACAGTAATCTTACCCTGATATATACCTAGTCTTGATTCCATGAACATTATTCTTTTTTTTTCTTTTTCTTTTTTCTTTTGGTAAATCTGGAAGGCTACCAAGCAGCCCAAAAAAAGAAGAAAGGAAATTACAGAGAAAGTTGTTGCAAATCAGCAGCAACAGAATCTACCAGGAAACTAGTCTTAAAAGCATTCCAAACAATAATGAAGATTATTCTTTTTGTTCACCAAACTATTCACTTTTATCCTGATTTATGCACCAAAGCCAAGAGCGACTCTACAATCCAAAACAAGACCCGACAAGAAATAGATAATAAGTTGAATCCTGAGAAAGTAAAATCAAAATCAAGAAGCTATGGAACAGGGACCACCATCTAAGAGTGACTAGCTGCATAACACCCATTTTTTTATTTTTAAAATTTATAAACTATGAACAATATGTAAGTCATTTAACCTTTATTTTTTTTCCTTTTATTTATTTCATATTTTCATCTCCATAAAATCCACTTCGTATAGGATTGTGACAGGAGTTGTTACTGAACAGATTTGGCCTCATCCAAACCTTATCATAAGTCTGTTACTTTCTTTAGATGCAAACCAGTGTTGGGAAACCACAATCGCACATCAAGTAAATTGAGAATGAAAAAGAAAAAGGGAGACAAAAAATTAATACAATGATTTATCCTCATTTATTATTATATTCATCTCATCATCACTCATTACAAGTCATTTGATTTATAAGAAAATATAAATAGAATTTAGAAAACCCTAACAGTAACTATTTATGGATCCAAGTCCAAATTAATAAGAAAAATAATATTACAATAAGTCAGAGAGGGGGCGGCTTCCCTATACCTCCGTTCACTCATTTTCAAGCATGACCCCAATTGTCTTTTTACTGACTCCACAAACAGGGACTCTTATCAGTGTCCGAAATAAGAGTCGTACCCAAGAACCAATTCAATCATAACCAATGTGAAATCTACAAACAAATTAAAGAGAATGAAATTGAAAAATATTATAATGTGAATTTTTTCTTTTGTTTATTTATATAAAAAAATTAGTTATATAGAAAAAAATTTATGACAAATTTTTATAAATTCTGAAAGGAACAAATATCATAAAATTAAAAATAATATTCAATTTTAAACAATTACATATATGTGAAAAAGGAGGCTAATATTTCCGCTAACCTCTCTCACGCTCCATTGATTACAATCAAATAATAATTAGGATGAAACTAATTAACTAAATCAACTTAATATTTAAACAAAATTTACAAAAAAAAAATTGGTAATCTAAATTTACAATTTTACTTATGTATAACTTGGTTATAAAATTTAAAAATGAAAAACAAAAAAGTATAAAGTATAAATCTTATTTACCAAAAAAAAAAGTATAACTCAAAATAAATATTATTAGTACAAAAATATGACCATTTATAAAAACATTAATTTATTTCTGAAAATTCTATAATTTTTTATTTTGTTTAAAAAAATTTAACAACATAACTAACCCAAACTATAACCTAGACCAAGACTACAAAATGTACTAATTTAATTTAATTTAAATCAAAAAATAACTTTGGTAGATAAAATATAACAATTTAGGGCCTATTGTGTTCTGATTTTTTTTCTTAAAAACTATTTAATTGAATAGTTAATAAATAAGTATTTTTTGTGTTTTTTTATTTTATTTTGAAAATTCAAAGTCAAAACACAAAATAAAAATAACTCAGATTTAAAAAACAATTATAATTTTTAAAACTATTTTTATAAAACAAGCATTATCAAACAATTTTTTTATTTATTTTTATTTTAAAAATCAAAAAACTACTTTTAAGAACTAAATTTAAACGGTCCCTCAACTTCCTTAAAAAACACCAAGAAAGTAAGTACTATGACCGAAAAGGAAACAACAGTGCGTGAAAATAAACTAGAGTACTGACATAATTTGCATTAGATCCAATCCCTTCATTTCCTATGATCATGGAAGCAGAAGCATATTACTTAAATAAAATACTGACATAACTAGCTACTAGACACTAAACCAATTCACTGACAGTTTTAATATTTTTTTATTAAGGGATAAATTTATCTCCTAAAGACATAAAAATATATGAAATTCATATTTTCTCGTCACATAACTTCATATGAATTCCACACACCTTTATGTATATATAAAAGAGAAATTTATCGCCAAAGTTAATCCTTCACTAAATACACCAATTTGTTTCTGCGCTCTAAATAATCAGAAAGTAAATTAAATTAAATGACTCGCCCCGCTTCAAAACGAGGCTCCAGTTTCAGAAAACTCTAGCTCATTGCTTTGCACCTTTCATTCCTATCCCATTTTCCAGTGCAGCATCACTTTTGTCCTTCCCTGTATTTGTTATGTACATAATAACTGTAGACTCTAGACTGAAGACAACACCAAGTGTCTCATGTTCCATAAAGACGAAAACAAAAATACTAAAAAAAATGTACTAGAACAAAGTTGACCAAGCTTCACTAGAGGACAGAAGGGTGGCATCAACATTGATAGACAAGATTAGATCTCCAACATCATTGGACCGCTGTACATTTTTCCAACTACTTGAAAACCCTCAGGTTTCTCTCTCTCTTGGAGCCATTCATAAGCTGTCCTTTCCTCTTCTGGTAAGGATATTCCATCTACTGAAATTTCAAAGAAGGTTCAAAGAATTGTATGTCAGAGAAATGAACCAAATAAGTACATGTATGCCGTTGAAGGGTGATATTTTATAGTTTTGGGTACCACCTTATTAAACAATTAAATGCTTGTCACTTTAATAATTCTTATATTAAATTTCCTTAATACATCTTCTCACACAATAGCTCATTAGACTTTAAGGATAATGAATTTGTCCACCTACCTGAATTAAGAAATTTCATAATTAAATATTTATTTGAAGAAATGGGGAAGTTGAAGATGGAACTAGCCACTAAATGGTCTAATACCAAGTAATCCAACCCAACAACTTAAGCACATCAATTATGCTTACAATTAATGGTTTTATATTAGACTTCTCTAACACACCTTGCGTACAGAATTAAAAAATTAGGATCAACTCAAAGGATGCCATGTGTGGAGCTATAACATAACAGCCTGCAAAGAGCTTATTGTTTATGTTGAGTTCATGAGTTATGCGATAAAACGATATTAGTGGGAACATACCTGAAAATTTGGAAAAAGGGAAATTTTGGTAGTATGAGCAATGCCTGCCATCAGGATCAGAGTATGGAGGACCAAGCACATCTAGAACTGCGCATGCTGTCACTGCCGTGAAGCAATGCATGTTACCCCCTTCAGTAGGATAAAGGATGGAGGGGTTGCAAGGAGCACTAAAATCAGCATCAACCTTCACTTTAGCCAACCGCATCTCCGGAGTCTGGGCTGGCATAGTTGGAATATGCAAATTAATTTTCTATAGTTCCATCAATTTCCACACAAAGAAATCATTTTTTTAAAATGCTAGTCCTCTCTTACCCTTTTCACGCATAACAAGGGTAAGTCTAAAAATAGCCACCACATACATGCACATGATAGATATATGTTTTACCAAGCATTTAGATACACCAAAGTCTATGGTCATTCAAAATATCCATCTTCCCTAAAACAAGATGAGTGGTACGAGAAATTGATCTTAACCCATGTGAATATCATCATTATTTAATGACTTAAAATGAATCACCTACTATGTATCTACTAAGCAGGCAGGGATTTATAACTAACGAAAACTGCCATGTCTGAAAGTTCTAATGGGACTTGCTAAATTGTGTTGCTACTACACGCACAAAAACCATAGGTTTACCCAAAGGCTTGTTTGACACTTGCAGTTTATTCCACATTTCCAATTACAACAACGTTTCCTTAAATATAAACCCCCATAAAGCATGCCCTACATATACATTGCAAAAGTTCAAAGCTACTCAACACTCCTAGTAAAAATATTTACAACTAAACTATTTAACAAGGGCCAGATAGAGAGAGAGAGAGAGAGGAGGGGGAGATCAAGAAACGGAAACGGGTACCTTTTCTATTTTATGTACTTTATTCTTATTTTAATATCTGTCTTGGCACTCGATTATCAACAAGAAACAGAAAAACAGGAAACCTTCAAACATGACAAAATTAATATTTTCTATTATCTAATAAAAGGATCTCACTGTACGAACAGACCATAAATAAACAGTGAATAGTTACAACATTGAAAAGATATAAAATAGGAAAATGCTCACTTTCTGATGGTTTGAAAGTGGTGGGCTTGTAAGGAGGCAAGTCAACGACCCAATCATAAGATTTGATGTGCATGGTTCCAAAAAGCAGCTTACTAAAAACCGTCATTCCAGGGTGATTATGAAGAGGAATAACTCCAGATGGTGGCAAGCAAAATATTCCCATCTGCAATACATAAAAAGCAAAAGAAAAAAAAGAAAAGTTACACTATAACTCGTTATCTAAACAGAACTACTCAGCAGTTTAAGTCATTGCTTAATTACCGAGAATTTTTCACACTCATAAATGTGCAGGTATGTAACTTTTGGGGCTCTTCGAGCATTGCTTCTACTGAAATATGGCATTTCAGGTTTCAAGCCGACGTCTTCTGCTTTTATTCCATCTGCACAAAGAGAAGCCTCAGTTAAATGCCTATAGTGACATAGGAGAGTGGATTAAAATGTCATGTGAAATTTTTATATCTATTCCTCTCACTCCAGATACATTAAATAGTGTGGGGTCTAATTAAATAGACACAAAAATATTCACATAATCAAATTATATGAAATTTTAATACGAGAGGATACATCTATTCTCGTGAAATAAAGAACACAAATGAAAAGTGGAATTAACTATTGTTAGAAATAATTCTTGGCATAGCTGCATAGGTAACGGAGTGGTCCAGGAAACTATTTTCTGTGTTGATTACAATAGAGTATTTAAAATTAAAAAAAAAAAAGGCCCTCAGTAACTTAGAACACAGATCAAAATGCCACATATTTCCCAACATGTCACGTGGACAAATTTGTTGGGCACCGTAGCAAACTCAATTTGCCGAATGAGGTGTCACGTTTGTGAACACCACGTGGCATATTAAAAAATAACATTGTTCGCGTATCAGTTAGATAAAAAATTTGGTAAATAGTGACATTTTGGTGAATGTTACCAATAGCTATATCCAGGTTCAGACAGTGTCACATCATTTTTTGACATCCATATTCTTAACTGGCATTACATAATGTGTTTTTCGTCCTTAGCCTTCAGCCACCGACCAAGTTATTCCTTTCCTTTTTGACAATCACCACCATCAAATTTATTTTACCAGAAACATTCAACTTGCTATCAATCCTAGGGATCAATTGTTTCATGGCTAATAATAGGGACTTCAAAATTTTACAAAACAGCTATATGGGCCATTATCACCAAAGGGTCCCCTAATTTAGGGGCATAATACATCCAAATTAAGCTGTCCAATGAGAATGAGACACAAGGAGAGGAGAGAGAATCAGATGTGTTTTACTTAATTAATTAAAGACAGTACCGGATCGAATCGACAATGATAAAATTGAGTATGCTACAGACAATGGACTTATAACAAAACTTAACATCATATAGTAGGAGGAAATCTGCACTGTAAATATATCTCGTGGGAAACACGTGAAAACAATGTGTGCGGGGTAATGTATAACATTTAAATTGAAGCAATATAAATAAATAAATATATAATTAAATAATTGAAATGAGACATAAAACAAATGGCTTGGTCTATTCGAGGATACGAAGTCCTGTGAGAAAACAAAATGATCAATCATCCTTATATAAAACAAAAATAAAGGAAAATTCGAGAAAATGCACACGTCGCATAAAAATCACACAAGGAGCTTAATTTCTGATTCTATTTTTCAAATCAGAACACACGGCACAATAAAATAAAATTAAAAACAGAGAAAAATAATAATAAAAAAAAATTTTAACGTGTGTATTTGGAGCACTCCACTTACCTAAAACAGACTGAAGCATTTCAATGTGTTGAAGGGAAGGGATAATCCCAGGGCCAGCAGAGGCAAACACTTGCTTGCAAGTCTGAAACAATCTCGGACCCGGTAACATCTTCCTCTGACGATGTCGCCGGTTCTTCCTTGATTTGCTGTTTGTGTTAGTCTCTTTCGGCAATTCACACAACTCTCCCCTTTTCTTCTCAGACAACTTCATCTCAATCCCCATTCAGATCAAGCCCAAAAGAACAAATACACAACTGGAATGCAGAACACACACCTCCAAAAAAAAAGGAGAGAACTTTCACAGAGGAATAGCTCTAATCTCAGGGATATTGGGATATTCAAGGACCCAATGGAATTATGCCAAATGGGTATGTAAGAAAACTGTCAAAAAAGAAAAATGCAAGAAACAATCACCCCAGAAGAAGGCAGAACAGAGGAAAAGAGATTCAAAGAGGAATTTGCACTATTTAGAAGGGTAAAAGGAAAAGGGGAAGAGAAGTGAAAATGGGAATTGTCATTGAAGAGTGAAGATGAGAGAAGCATAAGATGTTTTATAATGATGTATTGCTATAAAAGAGGAGGAAGAATGAATAAGAAAAGAAAGTGAAACGGAGAGAGAGAAAAAGAGTGGTTTGTAGGAAGTGAAACTGAAAACCAGGGGCCATGCTTAGAATTCCAGTGGGCTGTTCAAACAGCGGATTTTTATCATCAACTGTGTACTATAATGCCATTGACATATTGTCCCCACTTTTTTTTTTTAATATTAGAATAAATCTTATTTTTGTAAAAAAAAATTAAACAAAGTACATATAATATAACCCTTAAACTTTTTATTAGATTTTAAAATAATTATTTCATTTAATTATATAATATCATATAATTAAATAATAATACAAAATTACAAAACAAACGTGCATTCAATGTGAAAATATATTGAATTTGGGATGTTCATTCAATGTTGCGTTTTTATCTTTAATTTCTTTTAATTTTAATTTAAAATAATTGTTCAATTTAATAATACCATAACACATAAGTCAATCGTAACGTCAAAATTTAATATCATCTGACAAGATGGACGTATAATGAATGAGAAAAATAAGTTAAGTTTAAAATGCAAAGTGTCTTTATTTTTCAATTTTTGAATTTTTATTATAATTTGCAATAATTATTTAATATTGATACGACGATACATAGGGGTGTAAATGGGCTGGGCTGGGCTGGGCTTTGGCCATCCTGGCTCAAGCCTACGTCAAAAAAAATTCAGCCTATCTGGCCTACTGGCCTATTAAAGGCTTTATTTGTAGGCCAAACCCGGCCCATTATCAAAAATAAGAAAGCCTTACATGGCCTATAGGCCTTGTAGGCCTCCCACTATATATACTAAGCAAAAAAAAAAATTGTATAGAGCAAAGAAAGTTCCATTGATGAATGCACTAGTACTTCTCATAAGAAAAAAATGACAAACAAGAAAGAGTCAACATAATACCTCAGTTCTAGAATGTATATCATAGAGGAATAGAGTCAAAGAAATGGGAAAAATAAGAAAAATACAATTACTGGATGCTGAAATAAAGTCTACAAGAGAATGTCATTCATCTAAAAATCTTTAAACCACCATCAAGACAAGGGAAAGAAGAGTATTATTGAAAGATCTTCATCAGTAACATCATAATCCAGCAAGGTACCCATTGCTCCATGGTATTAAGCTGCAACAACATGTAAAATTTGGAGACATTATACAAGTTTTCCTTTCATAAAATAAAATAGCACAAAAAGTAAGAGATATTGGTATTTGGTACTTTGTGTCTTTGTCACATAAAATAAATATTTTTTTATTTTTATTTTAATAAATTAAATAGGCCAGCCTACAAGGCTGTAGGCCGGGCTTGACAAAATTGGCCTATGGCCTATTTATTAAAAAAGCTTTTTTATAAGCCTAAGTCTACTCTACTTTTCTGAAAGGCCGGGCCTGAGCTGGGCTCAATGTAGGCCGGGCCGTAGGCTGGGCTGGGCCAGCTGGCCCATTTACACCCCTAACGATACATAATTCAATAATAATATAAAAATACAATATAATATTACAGCAAAAACTTGTTAAAAAATGTGAAAGTAAGTTAAATTTGATATGCCGAATTCATATTGTGCCTTTATTTTTTATATTTTATTTATAATTTAAAATAATTATTAAATTTAATATTACCAAAACACATAAGTCAATCATAACGTAATAATTTAATATAATCTGACAAAACAGACATGCATTAAATGTTAAAATATGTTATATTTGAGGAGCTGAATTCATATTATTATTTTAATCATCAGTAGTGAATAAAGATAATTATCTGCATTAAATTCAAAATAATATTATTTTAGAACGAAAATTAAAGTATTTTTTAATTATAATTTAATTTAAAGTTATAATAATTTTTATTATTATAATTTTTTAATTTTTCAATTTAAAATAATATTATTTTAAGAGTGAATGTAGATAACTTATCTACATTGACCCGTAGAAACATTAAAACTTTTTATTAATATTTAAATTATAATTTGGAATAACTATTGAATTTAATTATAAAGTAATATATAATTAAATAATAACATAGAAATTCAATATAATATGACAAAACGGATCAGTTACATTAAATGTGAAAATAAGTTAAATTTGATATGCGGAAACCATAAATATAAAAAATCAATATAACTTAAAAAACGGACTTGCGCTAGATGTTAGAACTTAGAAAATAAAAGTTAAATTTAAATGCGAAATCATATTATGCCTTTATTTTAACTTTTTAATTATGACTTAAAATAATTATTTAATTTAATGATTTGACAATATATAATTAAATAATAATGCAATGTTGAATATAAATATATCAAAACAGACATGCGTTAAATTTAGATGCGGCATTGTATTTTATAATTCATTATCAAATTTTAAACACTCTTAGGCATTTAAATATCGAATGGGAGGTAGGACACCTTATCTAACATAGAAATGTGTTAATTCCAGTTAGCTTACTCTCTTTTTTTGTAAAGAATTTAACTTATTTAATTGTACGTCAAGTAATGTATCAAAAAAAAAAAAAATTGTACATCAAGTGGGTATGACTTATTTTTAATTTTTATTATAATTTTAATGATACAACATTACATCATTAAACAATAATATAATATTTAATATAATATTACGAAACGAATGGGCATTAAATGTGAAAATAAGTTAAATTTAAGATGGGGAATTTATATTGTGTCGTTATCTTTTAATTTTTTAATTTCTATTATAATGTGAATAATGATTTAATTTAACGATACGATAAAACATATTTATTTCATATAATATTACAAATTGGGTGTGCATTAAATGTCAAAAAAGTTAAACTTGATGTTATAAAAAAAAAAAAAAGTTAAACTTGAGATGCGGAATTCATATTGTGCCTTTTTTTTATAAATAAAACAATTATTCAACTAAATTATTTAATAATTTGAGATTACAACATAATATTTTAAATAAAAAAGTTCAAAAACCTCTCATATTTTGTTTGAATTACTTATTCCTTTATTTTTTCTTTAATCACATACGAGGTAGTTTTTTCTAACCAAATTCATCCATAACACAGTTATAAATTTAATTAGTTTACCTATTTTACATTTTTAGAAAAATGAAAATAGACTGATAACTATAAAGTAAAAAATTGAAGAAAAAATTAAATTAAATATGTTGAAAACCTATAATACTTATGGAAAATACTAAAAGGTGAAAAATAAAAAAAATAAAAAGATCATATATATAAATCAATAAAAAATAGAAAAAAAAATCGAAATATATTTAAGAGATTTTGAACTTTTTCCTATTTTAAACTCGACATTCTTCCATAATTTTGCAAAAACAGTTCATTCCCAATCCCAGCAATATGAGTAAGAGTAGAAGAGGATGGGGGAAATGAGAGAAATGTGAAGAGAGAATGATCTTAATTAGATTAAGCCTTGAAGTTGAAATTAAACATTTTAAATCAAGATATTAATAAAAAATTGGTATTACCAAAAAATAAAGTAAAAAACATTTTGGAAAAGCTAGCTTTTTAAATATATATATATATATATATATATATATATATATATATATATATATAGCTGGAAGCTCATGTGGTATAGAGATTTAATATATAATTGTTAAATATGTATCATTAATTAGCCTGGAGTAAAATAATTATTTATAATTGTATTAGATTCAAGGTGACTACATAATCATAAGTTTGATTCTTACTTTCAAATAAAATTAAATCAACATAAAAAAATATATTTGTGCAATATCTATTTTTTTATTTTCCTCCTAATAGCTTCCAATAAAAAGTTTTTTTTTAATTTTCATTGAAAAACTCCTTTCTTATTTTGAATTTTTTTTTATTTTATAAAAGGTGGGAATTTAACAAATAACCTAATACAAACCTAGTGGTTTATTTTGAAAACTTCTTTAATGTTTTGTTTGATTCCATTTTTTCATTTAATTTTTTTTTTTTAGAAAATTGGGTCTAAACAAACACTAAATTTATATGTCAGTGGCTATGACCATTAGGTCTAACTCTCTGTTAAAATATATTAATGATATATATAGTAACTTAATCCTAAAACAAAAACACTTATAGACGCTGTCAGATTAGAATTAAAAACACTTATAGAATAATTATCAATCTCCATGAATTTAATATCAGTTTTTGTAAAAATAAAAATAAAATAGTAAACATATATTGATTATATTTGTACTTTAAAAATATATTTAATATACTTATATACTCTCATAATATATCATTTAATGTGTAAAGACTGAAGAGTCTTGATAAAATGGATCAACTGATTTATTTATAAAAATATTTATTGAAATTGCTAAAATTCAATTGTTTTAAGACACTAAAAAAGACAATATACCATTCTCAAAAGATTGAACCACATCAATTGATGTACTTCACGTGCATAACACGAGCAAAAATATCTTGATGAGTTTTAATATTCATGTTTAATCTTCTTTTGTTGAAAAATGTGAAAAATATATTAAGTATATTTAAATATTATAACTATATTTAAGATAATCAAATAATAAAACATGTAACTTGTGAAGAATTTTGGTAAAATGGTGGTGTGAAAATGAACATATTTTCTTTTAAAACTATTTATTAAAAGCTTTTAAAATGTAAATATATTAAAACACATATTATATATGTTAAAAAAAACCCACAGTTTTGCTTCAATCCATCGTTTTATAATTTAATAAGCATGTCTCTTGTGAGCTTGCAACGGGTACAATTTTTTTCTTTTGTTTTCCGTTTTCTGTTTTTTGTTTTTCTCCTAATGATATGTCTCTATGGGACAATAAAAGAAATCTATTAAAAAAAGTGAATGAAAGAAAAGGATAACCCAAACTCTTGTAGGATTGAACAGCATCGATTAAAAAAATTTATATTTGGTATCTTATTGGTAAGTCACGTTTGCCATAAGCTTTTCTTGATATCAAGTTATGACATGCATTTATTATAAAAACAGAATATATACCATCTCATGTTCTTAAAAATAATAATAATTATATAGAGAAATGTACCGGAAAGGAGTAAGACATGATTGCTCTCCTTATCATGTTTTCATGTTCCAGAACACTCTTCCTTTTTATTATTCTCA